CATGTCTGTGGACTGTAGGAGGAAACTGGAGCCATTTGATGATACCCACATGAACATACAAACTCCACGTAGGACAATAGTAATTGTGATTAATGTTAGATATATTTTTACATCAGAAAATTATATTTAAAATTCAGTTTTAATATGCAGATATGTGGAACGGACACGTGCAGTTTGTTTTGGTTAGGTTGAATTTCTATTAATTGTCTTATTAGGTTCAGTCCCATATGTACTATCCAACCTTATCATGTACAACCATTGCACCTTGTAACAACCTGATATCCTTTTCTGTTAATTTAAATCTGCAGGAGTAATTTGAGCTGTATGTTTTTCAAGCGTGGATTGGTCAGACTGTCTTAAAATATTTTAAGTCAGTGCCAAACAATCTTAAAGACTGATGAAAGGTATTCAATATACAGTAATTCTAAAACTTGAAAGGTAATTTTATATACAAATATCTCTTCATCCATGCATCCATTAGTGGTCGGTCCATCCTGTTTTTTTCTCTGATAGGATTCAGATGAGTATACAGTACCTAAAAGCCTTGGATTCTGTTTTTCCACAGAAGGGTGAAGTGTGGTCAGAGGTACCTCAATAGGGGATGCAGCTTACTGCCTCTTAGTTTCTGATGAAGGTATAAAACCTCACAATTGCTTACTGCATTGCTACTACACTTGGAAACATACTGTACGAAGGACGGAGTAACTGTGTAACAGCCCCAACATGTGTTCTTTGAAATACTTACTGTAGTAGCTTTTGTTAAAAAAGACCACCAAAACCACTCTGGTTCTTTGACTGGTAAACTGCAGTGGTTTAAATGGTAATACAACATATACAGGCTTGCTGCAAAACCAAGACTGTGCTTTACAAGTCCACTATGTAGTTTTATGGTAATTAGATAATTTAACAGAAAATTGCATCATTCAGTAATATTTTTCATTGAATGAAATACCCTGTAAATTTATGTGGAAAAGTAGGAATTTTTGGTATTTTAATCTCATAATCTTTTACAAGCAAAGAAAACGTAATCCAAAAACAAGCTTTTCAAAAAGACCTTATTCCTGTGTCCTGAATTCTTAGTTGTAATGTTCCAGGAATAATGAATTTACCATTTATTCAAGAAGAATGATAGCAGCAAAACATTACTATTTACAATCTAAAACTGCAATTACTTTTCTGTTCTCTAGGTGTTTGACTAGCATTAACATAGAAAAAGAATTGTACAGTACCTGATTGTAGTTTAGGTTTTGTGGCCAGAGTGTTCTGTAGTTTAGGTTTTGTGGCCAGAGTGTTCTTGTACATATATTTTTAAAAAGATCAGTTTTTCAAAGCCTTGAGCATTACTGCTTTGTTGGAGGGGCTATTGCTACTGTTTTATTATATACAGTATAAGGATTTCTGTGTCACATTCCAGCATTTCAAGACACAGCTGGAGGTAAATAGCACTACGTGGGCACTTTATGGAAATAGTTCAATCTATTATTCCTCTGTCTGTATAATAAGTTCACTCCATGGGGTAGCATTTGTCAAAATCCAAAAACATTCTGAGCACACTTAAATCAACTTAAAAATTATGTGAAGCAAATGCCTGTTGTGCTGAATATAAGAGACAGAAGATTGTAACATTGATGCTTAAGAAGGTATATATTGGAACAGCAAATAAATGTACTGATTTTCTCTTGCATTTCATCACACAGAATTATTAGCCACCTTCTGAAATGTCACATCTTGGGCTACATTTCATAAACAGTTTAATGGGGAAGGTCTGTTTTCAGAAACAGTATCAAAGCAGTGGTTTGTTCAGTAAACTTATGTTAGTTTATAGAACTGCTCAATAAATGTGCAGACTTTCCACAGATTTTGTATGTAAGATTTGAATGTCAGCAAAGTAGCAAAAGCTATATTTATCTTTCGTTTCAAATTTTGATAAGTCTTTGAAAGATGTTCTTTGAAAAACGCAAGATAAGATCTGGAGCAATGTGATGAAGTAGTATAAAAATGTATGTACTGTAGCTATTTTTGGGGGGAGAACTGTCCTATAGCTATTCTCTAGTGGGGATGATAATGGGGAGACAGGTGAGCGCTAGGTACTAAAATATAAGTTTAGTGAAGATAGGAAAACCATTATTCATTCCTCAGAGAGTTGATTCCGTTTTCCATCCCTTTTCAACCCCTGCAAATGGCTTCCCGTTTTTATCAGCACAGCTCAGTAGACGTGAGCACGGGATGAGAGTGGAATGCCCATCTTCTGATAATATAATCCATTTACACCCAGCACATGGCTTTTCTTTGCATGAGGATGAAAGCTCTCTATCTCCCAGGAAGGGAAATCGGTGACTCTGAGCCCCTGTTCAATAGGGCATACAGACTGAGAAAGTGAATAAATGTAATGTAAAAAATGTGTTTTATCCATGAAAAATAAAAACAAAACGACCATTTCTTAGAGCTATGTGTGGGCTGTGTTTGTGTGGTAGTCTTGCTGTGCCTGTGGATAAATAAAGCAAGTAACTAGTTATTCCCTGCACTTAATGATCTTTGGACAGAATGTCTTTAGCATTACAGATGCATACCATATTTAAAACACCAACAAAAATGCAACTGTTTAAAAACATCCAATACTGATGTCAACTCAAGAAGAAAGTTCCAGAGAATTGTTGGCAATGCCAAGCTGACCACTGTCTGACTGCACCCAGGTTTGTCTTCAGTTTTATCCACTGCAAATGCTGAGCACATCCTATTTATGGTGACAATAACTGTGGTGTCATGATAACCCTACTATGGTCCTGGCACCAGGCTGGTGAAATCAGGACTTGTTTTGCTTGTCCATAATAGTACAAGATATTTCTAGTAAGATGTGTGCTCTTCATAGAGTAGCTGAATATGCTTAATTAACATATAAAATGATGCAGCAAAGCAGGAAAGGCCAAGGAAGTTGTGTACATGCGCTTTTGCACTATGGCAGTAAGGTTTCAAAATGAATGATACTGTAACGCTTACGGCCGATAGGTACTGTGTAAGAGCCGGCATACCAGAGCAGGTGACGTCACCGCCCTTCCCTGTGACAGCAGGACTACAGCTACTGGGCTGAGGAGAGATCTCTCTTTGGCTCATGGGGCTGGGTCGCTGCAGAGAGACGCGGGAGTCCCGGGTTTGAGCCTCAGTCGGGATGGGGCCGACCTAATGCGGCAAGGTCGCCCGCCTGAGCCCCTGTTGCGTTACAATACTTACTGGAATGACTACATTACGTATGTAGTTAACAGTGGCTTTGAGGTTTTGCATGTATCAGCATGATATGGGAAGATGCAATGTAGCAGTTTGAGGAGACGTGACCATAACACACTTCCTCTTGGTTAGTTTCAATGTATGAATCACTGGCAGAATATTTTCTTCAGTTTTAACCTCAGGGCACCATGTTTAAAGGTCTACAGCATGATACCGTGGGTGGGAAAGAATTGACAAAGAGTATGCTTGCCATTCAGCAGTAAAAATAGAAGGCTTCAATTTACCCACAGATGAGCTGTTGCATGAAACATCCTCCTTATTCTGAAGAGCCAGGGTATGGAATATCTCTTGTTGTTTTTATTCTGATAAATATTCTCTTCCACAAAGTCACTGTGGTACATGGTAAACCTAAGTAAATTGTAGCAAATAGTGAAATAGTTGTAAAAATAGGAAAAGAAAACATGAAAGCGGTGCAAATCATGAGGAATCAAAGAATGTTAAAAGTGTGTTAAAACCACAGGAAAGCAAAAAGTATCATATAGTCATAAACTGCGGTGAACACAAGCGGAAATATTTTTTTTTCTGTAAACATTGTTTCTGTAAAGGCATTTAATCAAATCATAGACTCTGTATATTATTTAAGAATTCTATGTTTCTCATGAAGTCATAAGGTATTTATTGGAAACACATTTTTAAATTCCATTTCCAAAATTTTAACAGCTCTTAAAATGAATTGTTACAACACCGCATCATTTGTTACTTGGAAAGCAGAACTTTCTGTGGAAATACAGTAAGCATTGGTTATCAGTTATCAGTTATCGGTCAAAGAACGTGGACAACATTAATGTACAGAATTATTGAAATAGTCTTTCAGTTTATTAACTTTGACTTTGAAACTTTAGAATTTACATGCTTCATTGCATTTCATTTTTAAAACAGTAGTCTGTAATAGCCCATATAGTTTTTATCAAACCTTCACACAATATTTACGGATTACAATTTGGTGTCTTTGATATTCTCACAATAGCAAGTAAAACTGCTGCCAGGAAACATACTGTAGAGTGTTTATTTTTTTGATAAACTTTTTTTCACTTTTATTTAACTGTTCCTTATATAGTACCAAAACATTCCCAGTGATGTCTTTGAAAATGCCTAACACTTATTTTATGCAATCTTTCATTCAAATTTGCTGTTTGGATTAGCCAAAAATTCTGTGATTGTGTCATTGTCGTATTTTCAATCATGGATACCAGCTTCCATGAATACAAACTTCCAGGAAGTTTACAAAAACCTTCCTGGTACACATGTTGCGACTAATCCATTTGATTACTAACAGTTGGAGGTGAAATGCCATCAGCCTGGTTTAGTCCACCCATGATTACATGTTCCAGATGCCAACCTGACCTTGCCAGAGCCCAAATGGATCTGTTGCTTTGTAAAATGGCCTCAGATAAACCTCTCGGTGCAATCTGACATGCAGATGAGAACAACATATATGACCTTAATTTCTAAAGCATTTGCAGGGATGTATTGCACAACTCTTCTGATCTCTTGGAAAGTGGTTTCAGAGTCTATATTTAGGGGTATTGTGTTATGTCTACAGTCACCAGGAAAATTGTAACTTGCAACCATAAACCTCATTTTGTGGAAGTCATGCTTGACAAGAACGTCAGACCCATTCCCAAGTATCTTCTCCTTTTCAGTTGCCCTGCAGCATGACATACATCTCAGACACTTTGCTTGCCTTTGCTAACTCAATTTTTTTTATTTTCCTGTAGCACAAGACATGCACAGAAAAGATGTTCTGATCCTGTGATTTCCAAAAGCATCTTGAAGAAACTCCTGAATGGATGAAACACCTGGCCTTTTCCAGCACAGTCTCCAGCCAGCTGTGGCGTTCAGAGGCCTCAACCGGGATCGAGAGAGTAGCTGTTGACACGATCCTGCCCTGGCAATGACACCGACCGACTACAAGTACATGCTACTCCGCTCCAGCTCAGAGAGTTACAGGAAGCAACCTTTCTTGTTCCAGGTGGACAGCAGCCAGATGAATTTATTTGCCATTTTAGAAGTCAGGAGGGATAACTACAGAAGATGGAGCACATTGGTGTGTTTTAAGAAAGCAAAATTGTACAGCATTTTCTTTGGGCTGACTGTTATGTTTCTTATCATGGCGTCATACATTCTGACTGGAGATAAGAAAGGGCTCTTGCTGACCCCCTCGCCGTACCACTTCAGCACCTTGGAAAACCCTGGGTCCCTCCCCCTCAACCTGTCTTCCACGAGGGATTACGTGAACATAAAATTAGTCCTAAAAACGATCAAATCTAATATAGAATTCACCTCCAGGCAGGTGCCGGACTTGAAAGAACTTTTAAGAAATGAACCACATGTGAGTATTAAAATGTGAATATGTTTTCACATGTAAAGCTTAAAGTTGTCTGGTGGGTTTTCATGGAGATGTACTTTCCCCAGAGGATGTTTAAAATTTCTACTGCTGAAACCTACTGTGCTACCGTAGGAACCATAGATGTAAATACAGAGTAGATTAATGACTAAATACACATAAATACACAAAGGATCATTAATCAGTCTCTAACTTAATTTACAAACATATGTACTACTGATAATACAGTATATGTAAATTTGGGAAAAGGAAACATTTATTACTTTAATGAGCCAAGCCAAAGTTGTTCTTTCTAATGCCATCAACCCTTCCTTATTTCCTAAGAGATAAAACACTTATGGTTGTGAAACATGTTTGTAGGTCTCTGTCATTAGTTTGATCTGCTTTTTACTGTAAAATTATTACCTTGAGAAAAATAGCAGCCATAACAAATGAGATAGGAGCCTTTTTTTGGAAACACGATGCTAGTAAGTGTTTTTATATGCTTCATGGATCCTTTGTAATAAACTTTTATATTTGCTATTAAAGATTTCACACCTGCTCTCCTCAAAAGAACAAAAATAACAGCAGCAGTACAAAGAAAATCTGAATATACTGTAGGTGCTTTAGTTGTGCTGAAGCTTAAGTTATGAAAGTACTTAAAATGTACTTCAGTTTATTTCGTTCTACTTTCATGTTTCTCTTTTGGTAAAAAGAAAAACTGCCTTATTACGGACCTTCTGCACTGAACAACATTGTGAGAATAAAGTTTCACTTCTGCTGGCTGATATTTTTTCATTGGAAGGGCAGTTACTGTAGTGGTTTTCATCACCAAGGAACAGGCTTTTTGAACACGTAGTGCACTCTGTTAAAAAACAGTTTTGTTGCTCTTTTTTAGGCTGCCTAGTCGTGGAATCTGCTTTTATGCAAAATATGCAAAATATGTAACTGCAAATGGGAATGAGAGGAACACATTCTCTGGTTGAACCACACAGTTCTCATCTTTTTTTATTTTAAGGTTTAAGAAGTCAATGAGAAGTCAGACCTGTGCTAAAACAAATCGAATTTCTGTTCAATGTTTCTTCTTCTAATATAAAATCTTCAAAATAATCTCAGATGTCTATGAGTAAAAACTTTGAAATACATTTTATACTTCAGTTCAGTTAGGTTTTCTTCAGTTTCTTATCAAATTCAGTTCTAATTGTCAGATTCATACTACATTATATTGCATAGTATTAATGAAAAAGCATATTGAAGAATTTCTTTCAAGTTTCAGTACTATTCAAAAATGTAATTTAAAGTAAAACTCAACATAAATTACCCCTCATATCAGCATGTATAATATACTGTCATTTACTTTTCAGATGTTTTCTGTGATTCCCCATGAATTCCTTCAGAATGTTAAAAACCCTTGCTGGTATGAAGAATACTCTGGGAATATCACTGCTGATCCATATGGGACGAACTTGTATGCACTTTATTCAAAGCGTTTCCGAACTGTCTTTGATTACCTGAGAAATGCTTTCCGGGAACACTTGTACCACCATGAAAGCAAGAACTATCGCATCCGATGTCTACCATATTTCTACATCATAGGTCAGCCCAAATGTGGTACTACAGATCTTTACGACAGGCTAAGGTTACACCCAGATGTGAGGTTTACCACCTTCAAAGAACCACACTGGTGGACAAGGAAAAGATTTGGTAAGCCAAAGTCATTTTTCATTATTTTATAAATACTGTATATCATACGAAGTGAAATTAGCAATGTGGTTATACTTTGTGGTTTAGTTGTGAGAAATTGTACATTATAGATACATAAGCAATTTTATCACCACCTGTAGCTGATATGTAGTTGAGGCACAATTTACCTTGATGGCAATCTGCACATTAGTATAACAAATATTTGTTCTGGCCTCAATTGAGAGATTTGAGCATGAAGATGAGACGGTATTTTACACTCTACAATGATGAATCTTAGTCCTGGTCCTGAGTGGTAGTTGTGTCTGACGGTTTTCATTCCAACTGGTCTCTTAGTCACCGGTGCTAATTGATGGATGTAATTGATCTGTGTTTAGATCCTTTCCTGCACTTAGTCCTTGGTTTTAAAAAAACCCCTGCTAAAGTACTAGTAATGTGAGCACACAGACCTTTATGCATTATCTCCTCAACGTCCTAATTCCTAATTTGCTCCCTTATTTCTTATTAAAAGCTATTCACATTTCATCATGTTCTGGTGAAAACAGGCAGACAGGGATGTATGTGGATGTGATGATGTACCAAACGTGTTCACAGTTAACATTTTTCTTCTTCTCCAAAAGTCCCATTGGTCACATTTCAGCTCACACACCTGTCACGATCGCTACTCCTCCTCTTAAGGGCGCTCCAGCCCTTCCTCGTTTGCCTTATTCCCCGCACCTGTCCCTTGTCCCAGCCTCCTTCCTGTCCCCCTTTAAAAGCCAGACGCATTCGCCAATCGAGGCTCTGAATCTGATTTCCTAATCGTGCGAGCCCGGGACCTGGTTGCGCCCGGCTCCGTTATGTTTTTAAGTTTCTATGCCTGTTCCTGTTTCCCTCGCCGGTTCTGACCCCGGTTCCTGTTTTTATTCCTGCGTTTTGGATGCATCACCCGGCCATGGACTTATGATAGTGTTTCTGGATTTCACTTTGGACTTCTTCTAGGATTATTTGCCTCGGCCACACCTCCCTGGATCACCAGCACTCTATGGACATGCCCCCCCGTCTTCATTCTCGTCTCCTGCATGACTTTTCCCCCTGTTTTTTCTCACTATTCCAGATTGTGTCATCTGCATAGGGTCCGAAAAGAACTGTTTCGTGACAACACCTGAGCAAGGGGCAGGACTGAAACTCGAGAACTGGCACGTGGTTGACACCAGTAATAAACCCCACAGACTGTGGGGTACCTTTTAAGAGATAACAGAAAATGTAAAAATGTGCCACAGATAGAATATTGAAATTTGCTTGCAAATAAGAACTTGGCTGAAGCAATAAGACACAATGATTCACCAGGACCTCTGTGTCTGCTGATAATTTTATTATTGCTTCTGAAACCTTGCATTTCCCCATAAGTTTAACATGTTAATACACTGTGCTTACTTTGCCTGGCCATGCTTTAACAATGTGTGCATGTGTACATTACCTGCGTTCACGCTACTGTGTACATTCACCTACTAGAAAGCGGGTTTCTAACACTTTTTTTACCATTGTACTGCATATGACAATTCAAGTTCAAAACAAACATATGAAAAGCAGGATACATGGTACTTTTTTAATTTTAAAAGCATGGCATATTCCCCTTTGCACTTTTATCAGTGGGGTACACTTCATTGTTATGCATGGCATAAGCTCCAGGATTCGGCCCTAGAACTGAATTAAGATAACTCTGTAGTGTCTGGCTCTATTTTCACTCTTCTTCCTGTGACAGACATGGAACACAAACAAGCAGTTTTTCTTGTTCTCAACATGGTGCATACTGTAATAGTTAGAATTACTATACAGTTATTATGCACATCATTCATTACTAATAGATGAATAAGGTGGTTATTAATGCCACTGAATTCTCACAATCCCACACACAACAGAAACATGCTCTAGTGTACAGTATGTGCATATTAACACTGATGATATATTTTGGTTGCGGAGCAATTGCTTCAGAAAATTGCTTTTAGAAAGTAACAAAACCTTCAGAAAGCAACACAGTATTTTCATTTAACTCCTTTCTTCACAAATTGAAAAGCATTTTTTGAAATGTGACTATCCCTGCTACTGTGATAGTGAAACCTTTGATTTACCTTTGTAATATTATTCAGAATTCACAACAATGCAATTGATTTATATAAAGCGTATTTTGTATGTTTTTAGAAAATGTAAGAAACTGCAAATGTTCAGCACAATCTGTCAATATTATCCAGTACTCAAATTATTTTAAATTAATAATAGGCTTAATAAAATATACCATGACATTAGATATGACTTAATGGGTTATGAAAATAGACTTTTCTATTTATTAGTAACTGCAGGATAATGATTTCACTATTGAATGGTTTCATAACCCCCCGAAAAGTCATATGCTGCACCTAAAGAGTCTTGTTGAATAGGTGCTCCAAACTGATAGAAATGGAGAATTATTGCTGCTCTGAAGCTCTTGTCCAGCACTCAATTCATTTTTATGGAGTATCTTAAATTGAATAATATGTTTCATCTCCAACTCAGAAAACTAACTGGAGCGTTGAAAGGGGACATCAATGAGAGTAAGAAAAACTACTTACTGTATGTAGACTTGGAGTTCTTTTTTAAATTCTGGCAATGTGGCGCTTGGAGTACAACAGCCATTTTATTTTAAGAAAGGTATTTGAAACACTCATTTGAGTGTACTGTAAGTACACACAAGAAGTGGAGAAAGAAACATCTTGCAAATCTATTTCCAAGGTTTTTGTTTGGTACAGTTTATTAAACTTAATTGGACGTTTTACAGTATGTCGGAAGGCCGAGATACTGCAAAATGGTCATTTTAGAAGATCTGCATAATCAAGTAAATGACACAACATTGGAAGTGGGAAGTTGGAAAATCCCACCCTACTTGGCCATAGCACTAGATCTGTGTAGTTACTGTACACCCCCTCAATCTTCGTACCCGATACTGCTGTGCTTCCAGCTGTTGGCAGTGGGTTGTGTGTGTGGGGGAAGTTTTTCACAAAGCCAGTCAACTTACTGGAAGCCTTTAAATGCTGCAGAGAAAATGATCCTGTGCATAATCTAGGAAGACACATTATTTTTAGAATTTACAGTATTTTGCCCTCAACATCTAAAGCTGTTTTTTAAATAGACATTAAATAATTTAGTAGCTTTGAACATAGGGGAGATGCCAGCAGTACCACTGTGGTTGTCAATTCCTGTGTGAGAAGTGTGTGGGAGTCCATAAAAGTAGGAATTCATTGTCTGGCTTAGACATGGGCACAATTAGCTTCCTAATTAATAGCATGATGTTCATGTTGGTGCTGAGCTCAGATTGTCTTTGAAGTTTTCTGCAGCCTTTTGAAACTTTAAAATCTGACCTTTAGGAGATGTATAGTATCACAGTTACTCGTTTAACATCCTTGAAGGGCTAGTTATGTTTTCTTATTATTGTAGAACTCAGTTTTTGTTATTTGTCAAATGTATTGTATTTTTAGTACTCAAAACCAAAACTAAATGAATACTCTATTGGCTCAGACTGTTGAAAAACACAAAAATGTGAACGTGTGAGGACTTCAACTGCATCATTCCAATTTAGCAATGAATGTATATTTTCTCTTAAATGTTGAAAGTATGATACAATTTAGTGTAGTAATTTGAAGCCTTTACTTCCCACACAAGTTGATTCTAGGTAGTTTTTATAACATTAAAATTATAAATACTGTAAATGTACTGAAAGTCTTTTTTTCCCTTCCACTCATTGCTTAAAATAACTAAGGTACTGTATTGTATGTCTGAAACATATACGGTAACAAGGTCTAATGTCTACTTTGATGAAAATTCAACTGTTTCATTTTTAAATATCATCTCCTCTGGTTAGCAACACCTAGCAACAAAGGCATGGTGGAGCCTTTTCTCCTGGATCTCAGTTTATAGCACAAGACTTACAGTATTTTCCTTCTTTCAGATCATCTTTTGCCTCTTTTCATAGACGTTATCAACTCCTGATACACAGTCAATTATCACGTTTCTCAACAGACTTTTTGGAAATTCAACATGCTTCTTTTTTAGCTGCTGTTTAATTAGTGGCTGACCAATCTTAATGATTTAACTCCGTTTAAATCTAAAGCATGAAGTTCAATGATCTGCCAGTCATATATTAAATACATATAAACATTGTTCCTGGCAGTCCTTTTCTTTATAAATTCCAGACAGAAAAAAGTTTGCTTCCCCAAACATAATGATGTCAAAGAAAAGTCTTAAATAAATCATTGCCTCTTATTGCTTTATTATTTGGCATTGAGTAGAAATTGGGTTTCCTGGGTTGTACATATCAATATTGTAATTCTTTCTCTTGTATATTTACATTTTTCACATTTTCCTCCATCCCTCATGTTATCATAAACCACTGACCTCTGCAATATGATTTCAAGATTGTTTTTTCCTGAAGCTTCAAGGCCAAAAAAACCAGAAAGAACACAGCACTAAAAAGGCAAAAGTGTTCTCTTTCACTTTTTAGTAATGTTGTTTCATTGGCTTGATTGGGAATTCTATTATGTCTGCTTAACAGAGATATGCAGTATTTTAGCATATGATTTATAAATTGTTTGACACAGTACAATGGTTCCCAACCTTTCGTCCCAGAACTACTTGCAGTATATAAACAAGCAGTTTGGCTGGATGAGTAATATCCTGGGATATCCATTTTTTTTAAATTTAGTTAATGCTCAGTATTTAAGCTTCCCTCTCATAGTTTTAAAGTAAGTCTGATCATGCCAAGAATGTTGGAATGTGTATGTGGACAGTAGAACTCAATCTAAACTGACACGAGTAATTTAATGGTGCAGATCATTCTTATCCAATTACATGTATTTTGACTATAGTTACTAATCACAAATGTTTAAAGATTGGTAATTGTGGATTATGGATTTATTGCCATGTAATTACTTTGAAAAACAATGTTTACCTGGGCTTGTTGACTCCTGCATTTAGTAGTGATTTACTGTACTGTACATATACCATACAAATGAGTCATTATGTTTGCAGTAACCAGAACTAAAGTTCCAGCTTTTCAGTGTAATTTTCCTGGTGAAGACTAACTGTGTAGTAGCAAATTTGCTATTACTTCAAGAGTGTAGAAATTACTTTCCTACTGTGAAAAACAAATCTTAAATTCACTGGCTTCCTTTATCATGTATGAAGTCTTTTTTAATAAGCTTTCACTCAGCAGCCTTAAGAACGTCAAAGCTAGATGACTCAGTAGCTCTGCTGTCAAAAAGGAACTCCTACACTGAGATGCTTCGCACCACCGCAACTAAAGTTCACATGCTTTTTATTTTCTGTAGGAATCATTCGAATGAGTGAGGGCTTCCATGACCGATATCCTGTGGACGATTACCTGGATCTTTTTGATCTGGCTGCTTATCAGATCCAAGATCACTTGCTGGGAAATTCATCTGGAAGCAAGTACAAGAGGAACATCATCATTGGTAAATTCTGAAATTCCTTCCTTTATTTGCGTCATACAAAGAAGATGCTATACTTTGGATGAGACACTAATCTAAAGCCATTACTAGTTATTAAAGATCCTATGACACTGTTCTGAAGACTAAGAGTGTTAAGCTTGGTGTCCTGGTACTTTGATTCAGATTTTGGGCTCATTCTATCTGCTCTGTCTAAATTCATCTGGTGAAGTAATTCCTCGATTCCCCACCTAATCTACTGTGTAATGAGATTGCAGGTGCAGAATGGTATCTGTGAGTCATCCAGGTTGGTGCTGCATTCCCACAGTTGGTGAAATGAGTCTCCTCCTATACAGTATACTGTATAAAGTGCTTGGAATCCTTAAGAATGAAAATATTTTGCAGATGAAAGTCATTATTATTTTTATTCAAATCAACAGAACAATGGATACACTAGTGGATGTGCATGACAAAATAATTCTTATCTCCCTTTTGTCTCTCCAAGGTTTTTTCCAGCGTTCATGTCAGTGTCCTTCATTTAGTTATGCTATGCTCTGTTAAAGTATTATAAAAACCTTATGGAAACTTTATATAGTTTGTTACGTTCGATTTCTCAAAGTGTTCCTGTAGTGAAATCTCTGTAAAGGTCAATGCTGCAGAATGGCTTGTGCACAGCAATTCATCCTGCTTACTGTGCATTTCAGGATGCATGACTTTTCTCTTTGAGGGTGACCTCAGAACAACTGCAAACTAAACTATCTAGTGTATGTTATGGAGAAACAGGAACTGTTACCGTGAAATTACACTGGAGGGCTTCCTGACTGCAGATTATAATGTGGGACAGATCTCACAAAAAATAGAATATTAAGTTGTGCATTTTTTTCTGACATTTAACATTTTTTTAAAGTTTCCATCGTAGATATTCTCTGTAGGCGATAGTGAATGTTGTTTCCAGATTTATTATTTAGTGCCTCCAGGATCTGCCTCTGAAGGCTAGGAGCCTTATATCAACAACCTATCTTTCTTGTTTACTATCAAGATAAATATGTTTTATACACAGGAACATAAATACAATGCAAATATGATTTGGTTTCTTTGTGTATATTCAGAAACGTGTCCTGATGGAAAAATTAAAATTGTGCAGAAAATCATAGGAGAAACAATAGCAAAACCCAAAAATATTTACATTACCACAAACAGCAAGAAAGAACTGATGTAACCATAAACTTATAATAATAGAAAACATACAATAGAAACTTAAAATTAAACATAATATCTATTTAAAGTCAAGCTCAGATGTGGTACATTTACTTCAGATGAGTGCTATAAAAACCTGCTGAACCTCCTTCCTTCCAAGAACAGTCACTCTGCATCTCCATTACAGACTGCATTTACATGCTCTTAAAACGATAGTGTTTTGTGGCTGAAGTCCACATATGCGTTTTAGACTGCAGTCTTGTTTAAGTGATTATTAGTTAGGGTTGTAATTATTCCACAAAAAGGTTTTACAAGACCAGACTTTTTTTTCTCTGGGATGAATTCTTAGCAATTAAATTATTGCACATGAAAAAAAATGCATTCCTCATTTTATTTTCCTCTTTCTTCCAAATGATTTTGAAGATTCCACAGATTCTGGAGACAAACACACATGCATGAGATGAACTGAAATCCTGACAATGAAATTAACAAATGAAAATAACTTCGTTGAATAAAATAAAATGCCTCTCAATGAGAGCCTCTTTAATAACATTTGTAATTCCTGTTTGCTGAAGTAGTATGAAATATTTGCTGTTATTCACCAAATTGAAATAAGGATAAATCCACTATTATAATATTTCTGTTGAATCTGCATATTCAGCAAGTACAAGGCCTTTCTTTCAATCACAGAACAGCTTCTAAAGGTACTGCAGGCCTCTAGATGGAGTCAACATGTGTACTTTGAGTTTTGTAGTAACTGCTCTAGTCAGGGTAATTGAAATAATATATGGGGATTTTAAATCATCATTTTATTGTAATAAGCAAATCAGACTGGACAGATGTGTGTGAAATAAAATTCCCTGTCAGATTTTGTCTCTCACAATCTCTCCCTCCGTCGAAGTTGCTCTCTCTCTTTCTCTCTTGACATGCAGCACACCAGCAGAAACTGATTAAAGACTGATTGGACGCACACAATTCCTTTTTGATATGTCAGGAGTTATTTGTCACGCTTTGAACACAGATTACTTGCTCACCGGTTTGTTTCCCTTTTAAATAAATAATCCATCTGATTAAGTAGCGTGCCAAAAGTCCTGCTAAATATTAATGATTGATCTGCTGTAACAGACTGCACAGTCTTGGAGGCTCAGTATAAGAGTATGCAATACATGAGCAGAACTAGTCTCCTAGAGCAAGCTTCTTCTTTAAGCACCTTTAATTGGTCTTCCCAGTACTAGAAACTCCCGGGGGCATGTTTAATAAATGAAATTACCTGCTGTTAATCTAAGAACAACATGTCATAATGTGGAAAAACATGCTGTACAATTAAAAGGTATCATAGATTTTGTCCAAGTTAGCCTTTAATAGGGATTAACTTTGCATTGCACAGTTTTCTGGCCATAGCAGTCTTGAGATTGAGCATTTTTTTTATGCCTAACCATAAAATGGCAATTACATTTCCAATTACTTTAACCAAATAATTACTGCAATCTATAAAGAGCTTTTTCCTTTTTTAACTTAAGGAAACAATTTTTTCACACTGCTTTCATAAATAAAGAGGATTTGTTGTTCATGGTAATGGACTATGCACTTTTGTGCTGTCTGCAGAACCTAATTAGGATTGTATATATTGCATTACCATAGTGTAGCATGCAGAATGAACAATAGTGTCACAGCCAGTCACAGCTAACTCAAAACATGATGAATCAGTGCTTGAATTAAGATCTGATGGCATAAAGTATTGTTTAACTACTTAATTCAGGGGCTTATTTGGGATTCAGTGGGACAGCTTGTATAACAAAGTGCTAACTCAACAAGAAAAAGGGTCTCATTTAAAATGACATTTTTTTCTCCACATTTGCACTTCGCAAATCCTTTGCTGCCATCTTTCAGATGGTCTCATTTAATCGTCAAAGTTCTATATGACATTGAATTGTTTCTTCATACATTAAGTCATCAGTCCCACTTCTAGGCAAGAACATAATGTTAAGCGTATACTGTAGCTTTGAAACGCCAATTCTTGTTCTTAAAACCATGTATCTGTACATTAAGTGTACCATGACATGTTTATTTAAAAAAACCTTAAGTTTCACTGATGTTTTTGTCAGGATTCACATTGGTTTTTTTTTTACTACAGTATATTTGGAAGTAAGCTGTACCTGATATATTCTGCAGGGGAAGCAAGTGCCTCTACAATGTGGGATAACAATGCCTGGATCTATTTCTATGACAACAGCACTGATGGAGAACCACCATTTCTGACCCAGGACTTCATCCACGCTGTTCAACCGAATGCCAAGTTTATTATCATGCTCAGAGACCCTGTGGAGAGGTAGTATTGCAGGCTTTATTATTCCTTTAAGATAGCTGTAGTCGCAAGGAGAAAGAGTTTAAAACAGGACATTTGAGGTTTCCTGAACACAATAAAGGTGGAGATAAAGTCAAGGTGTCAGGGAGCCGGTAAAAGCCTATATTTCTCCCTTTTCTAACGATGCCCTCCATGCAGTAGCTTCTAAAATCTAAATCCAAATGCCAGTCTGCACTTATTCTTTTTTTGCTTCATGTCTCTCAGTTTGCCCACGTTAACTGAAGCACAGAAAGCTGAGCTTGTTTTGTCCTAGCTTGCTCAAGTGTAGGAATTTTATTGATTATATCCTTTTATAATCTTCTTTAACATCTTGTTTCCTGTGGATCTCCAGTGGAAAGTATTTGATTTATTAAAGCATAGGTTTTAATTCCATTGCCCACACGCTTTGTGAGTTTTCCACAGGATTACACATGGAAATGTTAGATGAAGGCAAGCCAAGCTCCACCAAGTTTAAACCTGCCTAAGATATTTTGTAAATGTACAGTGAAGATTTTGAAATAATCTTTGCTGTGCTTCTTTGTTGTTTGTAGGCTGTATTCAGACTACCTTTACTTCGGAATTGCCAATAAGTCTGCAGAGGATTTCCACGAGAAAGTGTCTGAGTCTCTGCAGCTGTTTGAGGGGTGCCTGCTGGAGTTCTCAATGCGATCCTGTGTTTATAACACCACACTCAACAACGCCATGCCTGTAAGTGGGACTTGCACAGAGCCCCGCTTTTTCTTGTCTCACAGTCAGTCCATTACAGCGACATAAAAAGAAGAAAAGGAGAAGAAAACAGAAAAGCTACTGTCAGTTTCAGGAGCTCAGCACTGTAGTCAGCACTGCATAAAACACTGCACTGGCAGCACATTAAAACCACACACTAGTGAAAAGCCAACGGAGGTTAACACGATGTTTGGGACAGAGAGGTGAGGAGTGCAGGCCTTGGCCTTGTTGGCTTAGCACAGATGGCAGCCTAAATGAGTGCTTGGTTAAAATAAACAGGCCGCTCCTTTTCTGCCCTGTTTGCCGTGCTTGTGAAGGAAAGTGCATGCTGTGCCAACAGTGAGTCTTGGCACAGAGTCTACCTTTGGGTCTCCATGGTGCCAACAGGGAATAGAAATAGGAATGAGAAAAGATGGCAATGAGGAAGCTCTGTTAGAACCCTGGCCCCTCTTTCAGTCCTGTGTGATGAATTTCAGAGAGCAGAGGTGTGTTCCAGTCAGATTATGCTGCCGTTAAATCTTATCTTTCTAATTGGAAGTCCGATTTAAATGAGGAACACAATAATTGAGTGTGATAGCTGAAGGTCAGTAGGATAAAAAAATAATCAACCTGAATATTACAACAGGTGCCACGCTAATTTGTATAATTACAATTTTAACAGAATTTTTCCACTAATTACTGGAGGTGGATTAAGATTAAAGCTTCAGTTAATTTGACCAGACTCCAATTTAGAAATAGATTTGGGAGTTGGAGCTATGTTACCACTTCAATGATAGTATTAAACTAAAGGCAGTATCCATATGTATTTATGTATTTTATATGTACCAAAGCATATTTTTCATTGTATACTGTTTTATGCACATACTGTATGCTCATAATCCAGCTCTGTTTTTCTTCTGTGCAACTAATGTACACAGAACATTAGTGATATTCGCGATATCACAATATCATATTCATGTTCATGAATATCAGCATGTTCGATAACCTGCACTTCAATCCATGTATAGAATGCATAAATGCACAAGAAATAGTATACTACACCTTCATTCTGTTCACATTTAGAAATACTGTGAACTACAGTGAAAAAAAAGTAGTAATAAGAACACAATAGATGATACTGAAGAGAGGAAACTAGGCTGCAGTCATTTCATTTCTAACTTTTTTGCTTGCTAGTGATTGATTCAATACTGGACAGTTCCTACCTGAAAGATACCAGAGTAACAGCTTTAACAAGATAGCTTGCTCAAGACTGTGGGGACCCTAGCACAACAAGAAGATCCTCCTCTTAATCTTAAATTGATATTTCTGATTTTTGAAGTACTTTGTAATTCTTTCTAAGTAAGAGGCAGGTGAGGGTGACTTCTCTGGAATGGCACAGATTTCTTTGCACATCCTTGAGCCTGAGATTGGTGATGCATGCTTTGTGGAATATGGATGTACTCCTGAGCCAGAATTGCTAAAATCAATTTGCCACATGGATGACACTGTATCTCTGCTCACATTCTTATTTAAATGGGACTTGAATATAGTCAATAAGTGATCATCGTGGCATATAAAAAGCTGAAACAAATGATTATTTTCCTTCTGTTTGGAATATATTTGAGGGTCATGTAATTATCACTAAATCTTAGGAAATGAAAAGAGTAAAAAGATCAATTATGCAGTGATTGTATTATTATTATATACTCTGGATTTATTTGTGCACCATTTAAAATGTATTTATTTGTGTGCATTTCTTCAAAATGCCTGAATATCACATTGTCTGCAGTTCATTAATGCTTAATATTTAATCTCTGATTGTTGTTTGCAGGTCAGGTTACACGTAGGACTGTACATCATCTATTTACTGGACTGGCTCACAGTTTTTGACAGAAATCAAATATTGGTCCTTCGTCTGGAAGACCATGCCTCCAATCGGAAATACACAATGCACAAAGTCTTTGACTTCCTCAACTTGGGTATGTAAAATGTAACATTACAGTTAATAAAGACATTTCTCTCTCTGTCAATATACAGTATACATAAACAGAGAAATACCCAGGTTAATAAATATATATAATCTTTCTGTATAATTACATCATATTAAAACACCGGTGCCCTTATTTTCCTTGATTGCATTCTTACATTCTCACACTGATTTTAAAAAGCAATATCAGGATACTGCAATTTAGTGTTTAACGTGGTGAGATTCTTGTCTGCTAGCAGATGTCTCTGACTCATTGTACAGTATAGTCCTGAGCCCATTTGACATGAAGTACTGTACTCTCCACTCAGCAAAAGAAGTGATGTGTTTGAGATGAGTGGTGGGAGTGAAGTCTCTGTAGGGCAGCTGGGCTTACTCTCCGTGGCAGGGTGAGGAGCTTGGCAGCCCGGGAGGCCTTAGAAATAGAGTTGTGGCAGCCAGTTCAGTTGGCTCAGGCATCTGGTGATCATTACCACAGGTGCTGAATGTAGATCACAAATGATTACGGATCACAGTGTGACCACAAATCACTGCCACAGGTGCTGAACACAATCAGTATTTCCTCAACAAAGTTTCATGTCCTCCCACATGCAGTTCTCATTGATACTGCCACTTCTGTTCTTCATAGAGGGGTAATTTCAAACTGCAAAGATGTGAATATTCAAATATGCAATTAAAATGTATAGAGGTTGCTGGATGGTTGCTTAAAGGTGATTACTTCAGATTGAGAAATGCATATGCATTTGCCCTGAATTTGACTAAAATCAAAGGACTGTTATGTTCAGTATCTTAAGGCTACTTATTTCTTATATTTTGTTTTTTCTGTTCCTTTGTGGTATCCTTGTATATACACCTTTAACACCCGTTTACCTTAAAAATATTTTTGCTGAAAACAGGCCCTCTGACAGAGCAAAAGGAGGCAGAAATTACTAAAAGCCCAGCTTCCAACACTAGAAGACCTGCTGATAAAAACCTCGGACCCATGCTGCCTGTCACCAGAGAGATTCTCAGAAACTTCTACACTCCTTTCAATGAAAAGCTGGCCAAAGTTTTGAGGAATGACTCTTTCCTTTGGGAGAACCACGCAAAGCCCATGTAATGACTGTAAAATCAAATACAAAATGTTTTAATACAAAGTCCTTAGTTTCTGAGACTTTTTTAAAAACATTCTACAGGGAATCTTCAGTCCTAACTTATTTTAAGTTATTCACACAAGGTATAGGAATATTGAATAGAAGAACACCACAGTAATTTCTGATTTTGTCTTATCTCAGAGGAGAAGGAATTTTGTCTTTTTACACATTGCAAGAATTGCTTTTTGACTTCTTTTGCTTTAATTAAATTTTTTGTTTTAAGTTCGGTTTTCGGCTTTTTTGGCTCTCCGAATGGGTGTTTTCCAAGGAGTGTTCAAAATATTAAACATAGATTATTTTCTCTAAATTTCAAAGGCTGCAGTCATTTCATTTCCTAATGTAACCATACGTAATATACTTTTAATATTATTGTTATTACAGTAAATACTACAAATCTCACCATAAGTAGGGCTAATAGCAGCCATAGTAGTTTGGAAGTAGTTTTCTGAAATGAAGATAGGATTTGAATCCATTTTAAAGTACCACAGACCACATCACTGAAAACTACATTATTACTACATTACTACATTACCACAGCAGCACATTGACAAAGAAGATTCAACATTACTTTAAATAACAGTGACTAGTATATTCCCGAGTGTACTGTGAATCCTTCCTCATAGAAGTTCTTAGTTTTGCTGCAATATCTCCATCTGGTGGAGAAAGATAGAAATGTGCAATCAACAGAAGTTCTTTTTTTAAATTTTGGAAAAAAGGTAGAAGAAGTCTTCTTTTTAAGTGGTTCATATGCAGTTGTAGAATTATTACTTCAGTATATTTTCAGATATAAAGAAAGTACTGAATTAAAACTCAAAACACTGATACTCTGAATTATGAGTTCCTCAGCTTAAAAGCTTTGTGATGATCTAGTGTTCTGTGTGGAGAGTAAGGTTTGTAAAAGCATAAGACTTAATAATTCTTCAGCAGAAGCAGCAAGATGGACATTTGAAAGAAATGGTCTTAATGGGCATTTAGGTGTTGTTAGAAATGTCTAAGATACAATAGATGCGATGCAAGACATCACAGCAAAGTTCAGCAAAGGTTTAAAGCAAAGTGTTTTGTTACAAAATAAGTGATTTTTCTGAAGAACACCCAAGAAAACACACATAGTGTATCCTTCTGCGCTGTTTTGAATTCAAGCATTTTCAACAAAGTTTTATAAGTACAGCCCCGACCGCTCTCTAGTGTTTCCATGAATGAGTGTTTAAGAAGATATGCATTAGAACATATAAAATGGATATGCAATGATCAATTCACTGCAATTCACTGCAATACATGCATGAAACCTATGGTTATTTTTGACAAGACTATCAGTGCCTGTCAGTTATTCCTGAAATGTCACATACAACAGATGTCTGTCTTCCTAAATTAAAAATGAACTACAAAGAGAATGACTAGCAATAATTTCATCACTCAATGTTTAAAAGTTTGAATTGGTTAAGAGGTACACATGGAATATTGTACCAGCTTTTGAATCCTTCATCTTTTTTCAATTTCAATTTAAAATTTGTTTTCTAATTTACCAGAGATCTTGACAAAAATTTTACGAAACTAGTAGTACCTACAGTGCATGTTGTTTGCAGTACTGTATATGAAAGGTTCTGTATGCAAACAGCAGTAATAATAAGATGTTATAATAAGTTGCTGTAACTTGCTGGACTAGTATAAAAAATATTTTAAGTGACTGGTTTTAAAAGTTCCTGCAGATATCTCTAATAATATTGTGTACTGAGGCTAATAGTTGTTAGCAGGATTCCCATTGCTCAAAGAAGTCTAGGTTCTTATTTCAGTCCTTATTTATTTAATTAAGCTGAACAAGATTAAATAATTAAAATCTTGTAGGGAGCAAAGTTCTTGTCTATCATGCAAAAGCATAATTTATTCTTATTAGATACTGTTTTAAAATAGTTAATCAAAATATATTAATGATGTTACATCTGAGCTATTTTAATTTGATATATGTATAATTGTGTACAAATAACACAACTGGTACAGTACATGATTAAAACAAACATGACATGCACTTGTCTGTATGAAGCTCCGGTCCCTGACTATCTTGTGAAGTTTGTCAAATCTGCTGCAACATTATGATTTTTGGCTAGCATGCACAGCTGCAAGGCTGCAAATTCTGGTGATGTTACTGTATGGAAATGCTATTGGGATCAACCAAGAGGTCCCGGGGAGGCCATAATGCTGGCAGATGGCACTATAGTGAGGGAAGAAGCTGAAAAGACAAGGGTGTTTTTAGAACAGGTTGTGGAACAGGCTCCCGTATGTACTGTATATAGTGGTACCAAAGCATTAAAGTACCTCAGTGTAAAACACATTGTCATGCATGTTTGCATGTACATATTTATAGACAAATAAGTGTGTCAAGTGTATTACAGTAAGTATGTTTATATGATATTGCATTTTAGTCACAGTCTAAAAGTACTTTTAAGAGTGTTGGTTAACTTCCAAGATGAAATTTCATTTGGGTGCTGTTTTTAACAGTTATAAAAACAATAGTCTTGTTAAAGGCTTCTGTAAATGTACCCATTTATAATGTATGCAAGGACAAATTCATGAAAGTAATAATTTTAAGGCATGTCTTTCCAACTCAAAAAAAAGTATTCTTTGCAAAATCAAAATCAAAAGAGCAGTTTGAGTCTTTTACACCAGAGGGCAGCCAAAACACATGCAATGAATTAGCAACTCACCAAAATGTCATATAACCAGTGTTTTTCTTTCTGTCTGTTTAACAAAACGGGAGCTCCATCTGGTCCCTGGAAAGTCCAGTCCAGTCAAATAGATTACCATGAAATCATCAATTTCTAGAGAACTGGCTTAATTTAGCTGTGATAAATTAAACAAGTAACTTGTTTAATTAAGTCATTAAAGGAACTTTTGAAAAAAAAATGCTTTTTGGTCTTTAAGGACTTTAGAGTTATTTTAAATAAATTGCTTGATTCAGAGTGACCTGTAAGACCAACTTGGCTGGTCTTAGATATTAGCCTTTCTTAACTCTTAACTGTTTTATTTCTACTAATCAATTTTTTAATTAGACTAATTTACCAGTTTTTTAAGCTGCTTGCAACCTTAAGAGATCTATAAAATTCTGTTCAACTGTCGCTCACAAAGACTAGTATGTCCTTTTTATACCATTTTTATATCCTAAATCATTACTTTAAGTTACAATAACTATTCAAGTCTTTAGCAGGCAATTGATTTACAGGTTTACCTGTAAAGCGCTTTGAGTGGAGTGTCCAGAAAAGCACTATATAAGTGTAATCAATTATAATTATTATTATTTAAGAGATCTATAAACCTTTGCAGAATCTGATCTTCTAAGGCTGAATTTTAGCCTACTCCCTGGTCTATGTGACTAGTTTTCATACTTACTGACCATCCAAAGCTAGGCAAGGCTAGGATTTTAACAAGGTAAGTACACAAATAAAAAGGTATTAATAAAGGTTAAGATGTATTTTTTCAATTAGTCACATTATCACTGTCACCGGGACAACTTCATATGTATATTTAAATAATTATTTAGTATTAAAGTAACAATTACTGATCTGATAATGGGTAAAACAGATCAATTTTCTGTCCTCTTGAGAAATGAAAAACATAAATATATACAGTACACTGTACTTGAAGATACTGAATAACATTGACAGTGATAAAAGTGTATGTGCTTTGATCAGCATTTTTATCTTAATATATAACACATATGAAATGTTTGTTTCCGATCAATAGAACAGCCATGAAACCCCTTTAAACTAGACGAGAATGTGTTTATTTGTTAGTGTAATATTAGTCATCTAAAAACTTAGAAATTATTGAAACCCACAGGTGTTTGCATTGAGTGAAATTCAACTCATTCCAGAAGAAGATCCATAACATAAGTGAGTAAAGTGGCTAACAAGAGAAAACGTATATTTTCAGTTTAATCAAAATATATAGTGTAATGCTGGTTAAGGCAAAACAACTGCCTGGACTACAGATTTCATGTCTGAAATATTCCTTTCCAACCCATGTTAATGTCCCAAATTATTAATCATGCTTACAAACACTATAACTCTATAAGTCTATAGACTTTTTTTTATCATATCATTGCCAATTTTACATTCCAACATATTATTTATGACTTAAAAGTAGAGACCCTCTATTTTTAATGAAGGTGTTGTGCCAAAGATTTGACATTTTTGAAAAAATACAAAGGTTTTAGCAAATTTTGTCATTTTGTCAAACTTAAATTACAATGGGCTGTCTAATTTACATCATCTGGGGTCCAGAAAGCCAAATCCAACTAATTCTAACGCAAAGCCTTTGGTTTTGATTTGTGAGGTACAAAGGGTTATTAAACATTTCCAGATTCATCAGGCAATAATTCTGAAATATCATACATCTTTCCTTTCCTGACATTTTGCTGGAAAGAAACATAATACTGCTTAGTTTTATTTATAAAAAGTACAGTAGTGCTTATTAATAGTGTAGTGTACAAATGTCAATGAGATAGCATTAATGCTTAGAACAAAAACCAGAGATTAGAAGAGCTACTTTTCAGCTGCAAAACTGTACAGTATATCAGTATAGAAGCCAATTATAATAAGAGATTAAAAACGTAGTTTATATTTAAGCTTTGTTCATTTTTAACATAGGATAAACTATGATTTAACATAGGATATGGGCATCAGACAAAATGTACAGTAAAACTTCAACAAATTCACAATGTTATTATTATGGATAAATGGAGTTTAATTAGGTCACTCCTAATCTCCTAAACTCAGATCCAGATCTTGCCCACTTTTTCTCTCCTGCTTTCAAATGTCTTGCCTCCTTCTTGCGCATCTACTGGGTGGCACTAGATATCGAGTTCTGTTGCCACCTGTGTGCCACATGTTTGCCGGCTTGTATGCTATTACCTGTATCATGTGTGGCCCTCATTCACATTCCATCTCCTGTAATCCATCATGAAATATCAATCACCACCATTAGCACCTTAGACTGGTGGTCTTCCGAAT